GCTGATCCGATGGCAGGAGCCAGGTACTTATCCTGGTCTCCCATGGGGTGCAGGGCCCAAGGACTTGGGCCATCCTCCACTGCACTCCCTGGCCACAGCAGAGAGCTGGCCTGGAAGAGGGGCAACCGGGACAGAATCCGGCACCCTAACCGGGACTAGAACCAGGTGTGCCGGTGCCACAAGGCGGAGGATTAGCCTAGTGAGCCGTGGCACCGGCCAATAATACAGATTTTTTTTTATCCTTTTTGACTAGCCCTTGTATTCAACAAATATAATTGAAATAAATTGGTACTTATGAATGGTAAGTCTTATGCTATGCTATCATTTTCTATCAAGGCATAACTATATCTAAATCTAAATATTTGCTTCTTTTTCATGTATAAGTTACAGATGCCTAGGCTCAAAAATATTTGAAGCATCTCACAAAAAATTATAATGAGACAAAAATAAAGCCAGAGAAATGGCTAAGAATTAACAGCAAATGGGGTAGAAAGGAAAGAAAAGTGGAAAATAGAGCAGGGAAATGACTTTTTTTCCGAAAACTAGGAGAAGCTGCTCACAAAAACCGCACATTTAAGTTAGCATTACGATTTCTGACTGTGTTTTAAAATACGTGAAAGTAAGGGTTTTCTTATTGTTTTCCATCAAAGGCTGAAAATACTAATCATTGATATAAAGAGCCAACCTAAATGAAGGTTTTTTTTTCCTAAATAAAATGGGATTTACATGTTTAAACCCTTTTGGAGATAATGATGGATACTCTAACTTCAAGTAACTAATTTCACTCATATTCTTCAGAAAAAATGCATATATTTCAATATTCCATCTTTATTCCTCTATCATCTTGTTACCCTCTGCTCCTCCATTTGTTTTATAAAATTCACGAGTTTCAATCATGAAAACACAGGCTATGATGGTTATAGTGGAAAGGATCTAAAATTATACCCCTTATAAATTCAAAAGAGGTTGCAGTATTTGATGCTCCGAGTGTGATTAATTTGACTGATTGCTCTCTGCCCTCCGTCCCGGTTATAATCAGAATGAAAATCCTTTCCTGGTTTAGACTCAGTTCCCTTTGTGTTTCTGCTGATAGTGCCCTGGCACAGACTCAAGCTTGGCCACACTCTGGCTGCTGTTGGAGCCTCCAGTTTAGCTGATCTCTTTACCTCCAGGGATTTCTACTTCACGCTTCTTATATAATAATCTTCCAGAAGGCGAGCTTTGATTATGTCTTTTTGCCCATCAAACTCTGACTTGGAATCCTGTCTGCCCGTCAAGCCTTTGTGATTTTCTCCCAATCTACTTTTTTCTTCTTACTGTGTACCTTTGGGGGTTAGCCTGCTTGCCAGCCAAACTAAATTACTTATTACTGCTTAAATGCAGACTGAGTTCTTTCCATCACCTTTACCATATTATTTCCTCCAACAAAACAAAGAAAGTAATAATAGCCAGTCATAATTTCTATTTGTAAGTTACAATTCTTTTCAAACATGGTCTAATTTACATTTGCCCCCAAGTCTAACATGTCAGACTCATAAGAATCTAAGTTAAAGAGGCAGGTTTATACTTGTAACCCAAAGTCCAGCACTATCACTCAACATCTACTATATATATAATTTATTCTTTAGTTGTTGAGATAGGATTCCATTTCAATTGCCAAGAAACATGAGGCCAGCTGGCAGGAATAGTACAGAAAAAAAAAAATGCCACGTTGAACTCCCATACAACAGAAACAAACCTAATTTGCTGTTCTGTCTTGCTTATTTTGGTTCATTTGGCAGTGTAATATAGTAGAAACAACACTGGATTAGACATAAGGAGACCTGGAATTTATGCCATGACCAAGCATATAACATTCAGAAGATCATGCAAATGTTCTGGTCCTTAGTTTTTTCATTTACAAAGTGGAAATCTTTCTTGCTTTACTCAAACAAGCAACACATAAGAAATTATTATTCTTTTATTTACCATTTCCTACAATACAGCCTGTTTTCTATAACTCCTTTCCTCAAAATTCTCTACTATTCTCAAAGCTTTTGCAGATTCCATTGTGGGGAGCAACCCGGACTAGACTAAGTTACTGGAATTAGGACTTATTCTATGCATCTGCTCTCCCACAATATGGCGCTGAGAAGGGAGAAACAGCTTCTATGCAGCTGCCTCCAGTTCAACCAATAAACTGTAGGACCTGCTCCTGATTGGAGGAGAGCAGCGTACTTGGCGTGTGGGCAGCCGAGTTGGGATTGGCGGAGGAGGACTATAAAGGAGGAGAGAGACAACATGCATGAGGAACATCTAAGGGGAACATCTGAAGGAACACCTGTGCAGCCCCCGAGAGAGCCGGCCGGCGGTGTGCCGCTCCCCCGTGGAAGTGGGGAATGTGGCAGGAGGAACCGCCCTTCCACGGAGGTGGAAGGGTCGGTAGCCAACCCGGGAAGAACCAGCAGCAAACCTGGGAAGGGCCGAGCAGACAAAAGAACAGCACAGGGTCCTGTGTCGTTCCTCCACGAAGAGGGGGAGCGACATAATGGTGCCGTGACTCGGATATGAAGCCTAGGCAGGGTTTAGTGTCGTTCCTCCACGAAGAGGGGGAGCGACATTCCATAATTAAGGTCCTTTCTAGGTTCCATATAGTGAAATCCTATAATCAAATTTACATCTGAAATTTACATGTCTCTTGTATATAAAGACCTTCATGGGCTGGTGTTGTGGCACAGCTGATTAAGTCACCACTTGAGATGCTGGTATCCCATACTGGAGCGGAGTCCTGACTGCTCTGCTTCTGAACCAGCTCCCTGCTAATGTACCTGGGAAAGAAGCAGAAGCTGGCCAAAGTATTTAGGCCCTTGCCACCCATGTCGAGGATCTAGATGCAGTTCCAGGATCCTGGCTTCAGCCTGGCCCAGCCCTGGATGTTGTGGTCATTTGGAGAGTGAATCAGCTCAGGGAATGGAAGATCGATCTCTCTCTCTATCTCTCTCTCTCTTGCTCTCATTCTTTGTCATTCTGTCTTTCAAGTAAATAAATAAATCTTTAAAAACCCTTCAGTTATGTGTACATCATCTCTGTTCTCCCATGTGAGAAATGTTTGTTCATGCCAGTTTCCCAGTCTCATGATTCTAAATCTCATGAAGGTTACATATGTTCCCGTCTTATGTTCATAAACCTTCTTTGACATCTTACCTCTCTTAGAGCAATTTAGACTATAGATTTTCCCTTTATATCCAAATATAAGTTTTAAGTAATTATATTAATTTGAAACAACAAATCACTGAGACATATTTTAATGCTTCTTCATATATTGCTGGTTGTGTTATTACAGATTCCAAAGAAAGAACATTTCAACCAATATTGTCTTGAGAAAGGAATATATTCTCAAAATGTCTACTTTGCAAAATATGACTGTATTATCGAGACGAGCATAGAGGAAAGTAATAGTGATTCTTACTTCAAAAGCTGGGCTGATCATCCTAATCCAAAAAGTAGATCTAAAAGTAAAATTGGCAATTATAGGGCAAATATACTAACTCTTTCTCACTTTACTAACTCCTTAGTCAAGGTGGAAACTAATAATTTGATATCAGAAAATAAATCTTTTTATTTCTTTTTAAAGTAATTCTTATATATTTAAAATTTTAGTAGACCTAAAAATTAAAAACATGTATGGAGTATCATGTAATGTTTTCTTACACATGTACATTGTGTAATGTCCAATCATTGTAAGTATATTCATATTTCAAGTATTTAACATTTCTTTATGGTGAAAACATTCAAAACCCTATATTCTAGTTTTTTTTTAAATAGAGAAATGTATAGTGCATTAACATTATCTATAGTTCCCCACTGTGTAATAGAATTCCAGAGCTTCTTACTCCTGTCTTGCTATAACCTAGTACATATCAACCATTCTCCATTCCCCACATTTTGTGAGATCATCTGTTTTTAGACTATGTATATAAGTGAGATCATCTGATATTTGTCTTTCTATGCTTGGCTTATTTCACATAAGGTAATGACCTCTGGTTCTATTCATGTTATTTAAAGTGATGAGATAGCACCATTTTAATGGATGAGTAATAGCCAATTGTATATATATACTACATTTTCTTTATCCATTCATTAGTGGCTGAACACTTATGTTGTTTCCATTTCTTGTCTACAATAAACATGGGCATGTGGTTGTCTCTTAATGGATTTTATTTTTCTTGCATATATGTATAGGAGTGGAATTCCTGGATCATATGGTTGTTCTTTTTTTAGTTTTGCAAGAATCTCCATACTATTTTCCACATTTCCATCAATAGTGTGTATGGATTCCCTTTTCTCCACATCCTCACCAATACTTGTTTTTATTTTTACTTACTTATTTTTTATGATTTTGGTAATCAGTCTTAGTGGTTTGGGGTGGTATTTCATCGTAGTTTTGATTTTTATTTCTCTGGCGATTAGCATTTTTTCATGTACTCATTGGTCATTTGTAAGTTTTCCTTAGAAATCAAACGTTTTTTGCTATCTTGCAAATTTAGATTTAGATGACATAGCCAAACCTTTCTCTACCATTTGTCTATTTTTTCAACACAATGGGGGTTAGAACAAAGGAGAAACAAGTTCTCTTGTAGTGTGATTGGAGACTTTAGTTTTATCTGAATTATTTTGAAGTTCTAGGTAAATGAAAATTAATGCCTGCAAACAAACATGCACACACATGCATACACACAAAATCTAGTTAGAGGCAATTTCAAAGTCTAGTACATAAGTAATACATAATATTCAAGATTTTTTATTTAACCATATTCAAGTGACACTCTGAAAAGAAAAAGAAACTCTAATCCACTTTTCCTTAATACAAAATATAACAATCATACTTTTCAGCAAAATTCAGCCTTAAGGTTCAAATCTGTCACCATTTATAAATTGTAGGAAGGGTAACAGCGAGTGATTCAGATGGTAAAACTGCTACAACCTTCTAGACAAATGGAAGAAAAGAAATCTGCACTTACTTGGCATAAACCACTGATGCACATATCCAGAGATTCTGTATAGCAACGGGTACCATCCAAGACTTTCGGTGCTAGTTCAACAATCAAGGTCGTTCCTTTGGCTTGGCACTTGAGTGAACACGGGTTGTCCGGGTCATTAGACACAGGAAGCCATTCATAAAATTGGCCATGGTGCTTGACATCGTTATGAGCTGAGCATTGCTGAGCCCGGAAATCACCTGCTTCTGGTGGGCAGTCCTGGAGAAGAAAGGCAGGCAGGATAAGGTTAAGAGGACAGCCCCACACAGAAACCTGGGCCAGCAATGTGGTTTGCTTAGGTCTGAGAAAACTATGTAAATGTCCTGGCTGTTTCAGATGGACCTTACTGTATCATCATGGATGCTCTATGATTATTGAATCTAAAAGCAAACATTCATAGAACAGCATTGCCCTGTTTTATAAAATGGGATTCTTGACTATGTTCTGAAACCTTAGTGGCAGTAGTAGCATTTAAGGCTCTGGAATTTCACAGAGAAAATATTCTTTTCTTCCTAGGTAAGCTGATGTATAAACAGATACATGTTTAGGAAGAACATAAAATCATTTATGATGAACATGAAATGTAAGATCTCAAGGACATTTTATTGTTAGTATTAGATATGTTGATTAAAAGAAAGTAATAAATGAAAATAATAATATCTGTAACTTAGGTATAGATATGCTGGAACTCAATGTGGCTCAAGTGATTCTTAAGGAAGACCTTTCTCTCTGCCTTTCTCTCTCACTGTCCACTCTGCCTGTCAAAAAAAAAAATTGACAACTTAATAGTTTCTTAAGTGATGGGATACAATTTAAAATCTTTGAAAAAGATCCATAAATAGATAATACATGTCTGTGTTATACATGATATATGCTTCTTTATTATGAGAAACAAACAAAAAATACAACCTGCAAATCCATGCTATGAATTACAAAACAGGTAAATTGTTTCAAACCATGACAGGCTACATAAGCCAAATTTAAGTGTGTTAACCTGAAAGGAACTGCTCTAAGGGACTGTTCCATCTGTTCTAAGATAAGAACACAGATGAACTATTTAATATTACCTCTTCATTGACTCATTCCAAAGACAAGACTTGACCTAGTTTACAAATTCTATCAATATCTGCTTAGATCTCACTTCCTAACTTCTGCACTAAAATAACTTTGTAGTGAACCGCACCCCCCATACTTGACATGTACACTTTCCGAAATTTTCCCACCTGACACACTACGAAGTCTCTGTCAAAATGTTCTTTCCCTTGCTTAGTTTTTTTTTTTTTTAAGATTTATTTATTTATTTGAAAGTCAGAGTTACACAGAGAGAGAGGAGAGACAGAAAGAGAGAGAAAGAGGTCTTCTATCCAATGGTTCATTCCCCAATTGGCCACAACGGCCGGAGAGCTGCACAGATCAGAAGCCAGGAGCCAGGAGCTTCTTCTGGGTCTCCCACGTGGGTGCAGGGGCCCAAGGACTTGGGCCATCTTCTACTGCTTTCCCAGGCCATAGCAAAGAACTGCATTGGAAGTAGAACAGCCAGGTCTCAAACCGGCACCCATGTGGGATGCTGGCGCTCAGGCTAGGGCGTTAACTAACTGCACCACAGCGCTGGCCCAGCTTAGTAGTTTTGATAAATCTCACTTTCTATGATCTACAATGTTTGCCTGGTGGTCATCGCATGGGGATTTCCACTGTGGAACTGATAATTTAATTAATTAATTAATTAATTTGCATAACACCTCTCCGATTTTCAAGAGTCACCGGATTAATAAGCAGCACAGAAGAGGTAATGTACAAGAATATGGAGAAAATTATTAGGAACAACCCCAAATACCTCTCATAATTAATCTACTGTTTTCTACAATATAAGTGAACCAGCTACAAGGGAATCCCAGGGTCAGGCTGGATCACCTTTGTCTTAATAAAGGTAAAGTGCAACTAAGTCCTTTTAGTGTGAACCAGATATAATTTTCTATCTTCCTAATTCCAACAAAGCAGCATCAATCACATTTTAAAATCAATGATGCTAAAGAAGGAGGTACCTTTCTCTGAAGGGAGGAGAGAACCTCCACTTTGACTATGACCTTGTCTAAACAAGACAAGAGTCGGAGAACTCAGAGGGCTTCCATAGCCTTGGAAACTCATGACTGGAACATAGGGAGATTACTGATGCCATAGACAGGAGTGTCAATTGGTAAAGTCAACAACAGGAGTCACTGTGCACTTACTCCTCATGTAGGATCTCTGTCCTTAATGTGCTGTGCATTGAGATTTAATGCTATAACGAGTACTCAAACAATATAATTCACTTTGTGTTTCTATGGGGGTGCAAACTGTTGAAATCTCTACTTAATGCATACTAAACTGATCCTCTGTAAAAAAAAAAAAAAAAAAAGAAATTATCAATTCCCAACTTGACTCTCACTGGGATTAAACATGACAATAGGTCTGCTCTGATTTCATCATCATTTAAAAAAAAATCATCTATTATTTTTCACTTTATGTTTCTGTGTGGGAGGAAACTGTTGAAATCCTTACTTAATGTATACTAAGCTGATCTTCTGTATATTAAGATAATCGAAAATGAATCTTTTTTTTTTTCATGTTTGTCTTTAACGCAAATTTCTTTATTTTTTATTTTTTTTTTAATCTTTTATTTAATGAATATAAATTTCCAAAGTACGACTCATGTGTTACAATGGCTTCCCCCCCCATACCGCCCTCCCATCCACAACCCTCCCCTTTCCCACTCCCTCTCGCCTTCGTTCCAACGAGATATCAAATGCAAATATCTAAATATGCAGAAAACAGCAGAGAAAACCTTAAGAAGGATTTCAACAGTTTGCTCCCACACAGAAACATAAAGTGAAAAATAATAGATGATTTTTTTTAAATGATGATGAAATCAGATCAGACCTATTGTCATGTTTAATCCCAGTGAGTTTCAAGTTGGGAATTGATAATTTCTTTCTTTTTTTCTTTTTTTTTTTTTTTTTTACAGAAGATCAGTTTAGTGTACATTAAGTAAAGATTTCAGTCGTTTGCACCCCCATAGAAACACAAAGTGAAATATACTGTTTGAGTACTCGTTATAGCATTAAGCCTCAGTGTACAGCACGTTAAGGACAGAGATCCTACATGAGGAGTAAGTGCACAGTGACTCCTGTTGTTGACTTTACAAATTGACACTCCTGTTTATGGCATCAGTAATCTCCCTATGTACCAGTTATGAGTTTCCAAGGCTATGGAAGCCCCTTGAGTTCTCCTACTCTTATCTTGTTTAGACACGGTCATAGTCAAAGTGGAGGTTCTCTCCTCCCTTCAGAGAAAGGCACCTCCCTCTTTGAAGACCTGTTCTTTCCACTGGGATCTCACTCACAGAGATCTTTTTGCCAGAATGTCTTGGCTTTCCATGCCTGAAATACTCTCATGGGCTTTTCAGCCAGATCCGAGTGCCTTTAGGGCTGATTCTGAGGCCAGAGTGCTATTTAGGACATCCTCCATTCTATGAGTCTGCTGAGTATCTCACTTCCCATGTTGGATCACTCTTCCCTTTATTTATTCTATCAGTTGGTGTTAGCAGATACTAGACTTGTTTATGTGCTCCCTTTGACTCTTAGTCCTTTCATTATGATCAATTGTGAACTGAAATTGATCACTTGGAGTAGTGAGATGGCATTGGCACATGCCACCTTGATGGGATTGAATTGGAATCCCCTGGTATGTTTCCAACTCTACCAATTGGGGCAAGTCAGCCCGAGCATGCCCCAAATTATACATCTCTTCCCTCTCTTATTCCCACTCTTATGTTTAACAGGGATCACATTTCAGTTAATAAGATAATCGAAAATGAATCTTGATGTGAATGGAAGGGGAGAGGGAGTGGGAAAGGGGAGGGTTGTGGGTGGGAGGGACGGTATGGGGGGGAAGCCATTGTAATCCATAAGTCATACTTTGGTGTCGCTCCCCCTCTTCGTGGAGGAACGACACAGGACCCTGCGCTGTTCTTTCGTCTGCTCGGTCCTCCCTGGGTTTGCTGCTGGTTCTTCCCGGGTTGGCTACCATCCCTTCCACCTCCGTGGAAGGGCGGTTCCCCCTGCCACATTCCCCACTTCCACGGGGGAGCGGCACACCGCCGGCCGGCTCTCTCGGGGGCTGCACAGGTGTTCCTTCAGATAGATATTCCTCTTAGATGTTCCTGGTGCATGTTGTCTTTCTCCTCCTTTATAGTCCTCTTCCACCAATCCCAACTCTGCTATCCACACGCCGAGTACGCTGCTCTCCTCCAATCAGGAGCAGGTCCTACAATTTATTGGTTGAACTGGAGGCAGCTGTGTAGAAGCTGTTTCTCCCTTCTCAGCGCCATATTGTGGGAAAGCAGATGCATAGAATAAGTCTTAATTCCAGTAACTTAGTCTAGTCCGAGTTGCTCCCCACACTTTGGAAATTTATATTCATTAAATAAAAGTTTAAAAAAAAACCAATGATGCTACATCAGGTACAGATGGTACAAAGCTCCAGAGTCTCTCAGGAGTGAGCCCTTTGGTTTGACAAAATGTGTTGATTCTTCCCATCTCTCCTAAAATGAATAAAACTCAAAAGCAGTCAAGGATATAACTAGCAAAACATGAAGTTAAAAGACCTTTAGGTCTTCTTTTCTGTGGAAAAAAGCAGTAAACATATCTGGACGTATTGAGAACCAGCATGCAATGCAGACAGTCATTTTTGTTTGCAGCGAACTTTTATGTAATGGCTTTGAGAACACCTACTTTAGATGTGGAGATCTTTCCAAACTGGAGAAATATCTCTGAGGATAATAACGTTCACCAGTATCTTCACTCTTATTATTACTGTCTTTCCTTTTACCCCTGTTTTGTAGAGGTAGGAAAATATATTTTGTAAAGTTGCAAATGCACTTAAATCCTGGAGTTCAAAGTTGGAACCTGAATTTGAACCTTTCTAATGTTTGAATTTGTTTGTACTTGGCAAAATGCAACTTCCTATTTTAAGAAAAGGACTTAAGAAGACTTATAAAACAGGTTCAGAAAGCTTCTTGGACATCAAATAGCTCTTACAAAATAACATTTTGATGATTTAAGTGTAAATGAATCAGAAACATATGAATCAAATTTCCCTTGAAATACTCTTGTTTAAAAATTAAGGGAAGAAGGATTTGGCAAAGCACTCTTTGTTTGAACCCAAAACATCTTAAACATAGC